GGGTTTGCTGAGGTTGTGGTCGTTCGAGCAGATCCCTCGGAAACACCATCCTTGGCAGGCTCGCGGGCACCTGCTCTGGCCTTTTGGCGTCTTTTCCAGGGGGCTGAAGTCAGCACTGCATCAGCGGCTTGACGGCGAAGATCATCATGTTTGGCACGAGTGTCCTTTGGACCAGGAGCAGGAGTCTCCTCCGGGTTGTCTGTAGCATTTGTATCTGGCCTTCGGGGACGAGCTTTGGACTGGACTTTGAGACCGCATCTGCCCACCTGCACCGCCTTGTTCACCATTTTGGGGGGTCGCCTTGTCTGAGTACTGACCGATATACCACGGGCAGTTTCCCGCAGACACCTTGGTGGCGTAGGAGGTCTTTTTGAGCTTCCTGTCCCGGGAGTAGAGGATGGGCTTCGAGCCCGAAGTCCGGTTTGTTTAATAAGGACCCCGTCCGAGAATTCACTGACCACTATACTGGATGCAACTGGTCCACGAGCTGTCGGATCATTGTTTGGTGTACTTGCCACGGCTGCATTCCCTGGGCCATCGGCGGGTTTGCTTGTCTTTGACTTGGCTTGTAGCTGCCGATGTCGTGGCAAAGGTTCACGTGGCCTAAGCTCACCAGCTGATGTACTGGCAGAGGCACCAGCAGTGGTGCGAGTCATCGGCGAAGAGGGAGTCTGATTATGCTGGTCGGAGTCCTGCTTGGGTCGACGTCTTGGCAGTGCATCTCTGACCTTAGCCCGCTTCGCCAAAGGTTCCACCATGTCGGCAGAGTCATGAGGCTTCGGAGCGCTGCGAGAATCTCTCCCCATGCTTGCAAGCACCACGCAAAATGGTTCAACTCTGCTCGTTAAGGCTACACAGAATAAGTATGGCCAGCACCACCATCTGTGTTCCGAGAAGACATATATCACAGAATGCAGGAATCGACAATATCGCTGTAGGGCCTGATTGTGTACATACTGGCCATAGCAACCGCTGTAATCCCAAATGCAAACAGCAACATGCAAGTCGGAACGTGCAAGGGCTTGCACACCGCGAGTCACAACTGACCATTGTGATTGCTGAAGCAGTCGAGCCTGCTGGTGTCGACTGATAGAATCGGCTGGCCACAGACCTGGGCAGTGAGCAATGGACAGCGGGACAGTAGGGTGAGCAAGCACAGGGTGTGGGCCAGGGTCCGCGATCACAGGCAGCCACAGACCTTGACATGCATCTGTTGCTAGCCAGCAGAAGCTTTCGGAGGGTACACGTGAGGACAGGTCGAGCCTTCCTCGGGTCATTGCTGTATGCAGGCTGCAAAAATGTACATCAGAGGCAGAATGAGCTGTGGTCCAACCTGGCATATCATGGTAGGCATCCTGGGACATACGAGGGGACAACAGGTCCACTGCGTGCCTACAGGCTGGTGGCCCGCATAGCCTGATATAGTCCGTGCAACAGTGGGTGGCCGAAGCAATCCTGATCAAGGTCGCGGGCATTCCGAGCGATGCACGATGTATACTGGCCAATATGAATGCCCGAAGCCAGGACTGCCTCTCGGATAGTTGCCGCAAGGAAATACTGAATAGACGCAGGTGCGACCTTCCGGTGAGGTCAGTTGCTGCACTGGGCTTGTTCAAGAACGTAGCTGAGTCCCTTGCCGTCGCGAAAATATCACAAACATATGGGCATGTCCTCTGTGAGGGGACGGAGCTGGCATAGGAATAAAGCTGCATAGCGTAAGCAGATCGAGATCCCGCCTCGTCCACGGAGTTTGCAAGTGCTGCACGGGGCGACAAGAAGGCCAGCCAAAGTACACGTATATCATGCACCGAAGATGCCAACTGTATCCATGGAGAATGTGCCGTCATATGGTCTTGTTGTCTTCGAGAGTCACATAAGCACATGTCACACAGGACAGACACGCCTACTGTGGGCCATGGTGGCTTGTTCCAACGATAACACGGCAAGCTGCACGCAAGTGAATCGGACAACTGCAGGCATCCGGCGTAGCACCGATGAGTAGCACATATGTCATGCTGCACTGTAGGAATTTGGCCTGAAGGCGCCGGTCGTTGCCTATTGGTGGTCTCCCGCGCCGGCTCAAGTGATGCAAAAAGCGAAGACCTGAGTACAGCAATGCAGAAGGTATCATGATGCTGGTAACGGTTGTGTGTTGAGACAGAGACCAGTGTAGGTCCCACAAGTAGACTCCCTGAGGCACGAAACAGACCATAGCAGTAGCATGAGCATGCAGCATGGGGCCATGCATGAGTCGTCCTTCGTGTTGTGGATGGATGGAGCGGCCTCCACTGCACACACACCTGAGGGTCATCAGCAGTGCAATGCTTGCAGATAGAAAAGGCACTAGAGGGCCTAGTCCATAGCATGAAGGTCTGCGGAGGAGCTGACTGCGGTTGCTGTACTGCCTTGCCAAAATCGCACACTGAATACATACTGGACTGAAGCATGTGCGGTAGAGCCATGGGCTGGCCTGCATGACCACGCAACAGGAAATATTCTGCAAATCGCGAGAGTGCTATATCCAGCCTGTTGGGACTCATATGAGTTTCTGCCCGATACCGTACCGCCGCAATAACATCTTCCAGAGCGACAAAACAAATAGCCTGATTGAGGTTGTCGTTCAGCTGCGATAGAATCGTCGGCCATTCTTGGGCAGTCGTTGGGTCATCCTCTTGCGACGAATACCACATGAATAAATCCAGTTGGTCAAGCAATTGCTGTAGCGGGGCGTGAACCGCAGAGTCCAGGCCGTGGAATAAATGCTCCACCGGATTGCAAGACCTCGCGGAGGCACTTGCTGCAGGCGGCTGGGGAGCATCAGGTTGCGTCTCGGACCCGCATGGTGCCATGGTCGCAGAGAACAGAGTGCTCTCGCTCGAATGCCCGTCCAGCTGTCCCGTGCCAATCTCTTCCAGAATAAGTGTATGTTCGGAAGGCGGGTCATCTGTCGGGAACGCTGTGGGCCTGCGATGCGGCCCTGCATGCACCACCGTCGTCCCCAAGGTAAGCCACAAGAGTATCACATGCCAGGAGGAAAACATCTTTGCTCAAATTGTTCGCCTATAAGAAGTCTCGAGCAGCAATAGATGTATATATCGACGGATAATGCTTGGCAGTCCAGGCCACCAATTGCAGAGCAGATGGCGACGGAAGCACCTCCGAGGCCCACAAAAGAACTTCAACTGCTGTAAGATCTGCCCAAACCTGTGTGGCCAAATGTAAAATCTGTCTTGAAAGGTCAGTGGAAGCCGGGAGCTCGTCCGTGAGTAAATCAATCGCAACAGCTCTGATATGCAGCGCAGGTGTCAGCGAAATTGTGTTGACAGCGAAGAGCCAAAGAACAGTCGCAGACCAAGCAGTGAAAATCAGAAAGCGCAGTGAAAAAGGAGTACTGGGAGCCGACGCAGAGTGCTCCGCAGCTCCTATGGCTGTGAAGCACCGGACGGCCGATGCTTCCTACCCCGCCCCTACCTACCCCACCCACACACACAGAAAAACAACGCTAGAGCCGAGAAGCTCCTGCTTGCAGTACTTTTTTGACTTTGAAAACGCGGGCGAGAGTTGCGGTCTCCACCTTGCGCGCAAGTGGCACAAGAACAAGTCCATTTGGACCCGGTCACTACATGTTACACGTGTGTTACATGTAACAAGCGACTGTGTACAGCTACGCACACATTCAGCCATCGGCACGAGTGCCAGCATGGCGCCCCGACACGAGTGTCAGCGAGCCGTCAGTGAAACACACGAGTACGATGCAAAAGCAACAATCAAGTATTGGAGGACAAGTACACAATGTAAGCACCAGCACTGCCTAAGCTACGATCCTTCGCACTCAGTTTCTTAGCTTTCACTTTGTCTTCAGTTGCAAGCTGCAGCCCATCATTCAAGTAAAGAATGCTTCTGTAGTGACCGCTGGTCGGCAACTCGCCAATGTGATAAGTCACTGCACATACATGAAAGGGCTGCCACACAACAGCTCCAGCACGATACACCGGCAACTCACATGTAGAATCCACCTGCACCGGAGTATGGCATTTGGTAATCGCCGCTGCATTGACTTGGAATCGCTGCAACACAATGCACACTTCTAATTATACAAAACTGGGGCAGCTCAAAAATCTAGAATATTTCAAACATGATGTGGAGCTTTCCAGGATGCATATGAAACGGAAAAGCTTCGATTCCAATCATATATAATATAAAAAGGTCCGCAAGTCATAACATATGTTGCAACGGACTCGTGAAGTTCAATCGCACTCGCACGGACACTTTTTGGCTGCATAGCCGATCGGGGGAATTCGTGAAACGATCCCGGTTTGCCCCGACCTCGGCACAAGGCCTACGAGATCTACGGGGCACAACATCCCCCCAGGGAGGGTGGGTGGGTTCAAAAATTTCATGAATGTTGGGCCCCGACCTTCTGTTGCTTGAGAGGGCGAGCGCGGCCATGCTGATTGAGATCAAATCACAAAGTGAATCTCGCATGCCGAAAATGCCAGGAAAAACATTCATGAAAAATTCACCGTGAAAATCACATGTAAAAATTCTGCTTTGAGTGAAACTACCACATACCGCAAGACTGTACACGATACTGGACCCGCCCCGGCTCGCTCTGCGAGCCTACAGTTCTGTCTACTTAGAAAGCGCTACCGACAAGTCGGAGCGGTTCTTCTAATTATACAAAACTGGGGCAGCTCAAAAATCTAGAATATTTCAAACATGATGTGGAGCTTTCCAGGATGCATATGAAACGGAAAAGCTTCGATTCCAATCATATATAATATAAAAAGGTCCGCAAGTCATAACATATGTTGCAACGGACTCGTGAAGTTCAATCGCACTCGCACGGACACTTTTTGGCTGCATAGCCGATCGGGGGAATTCGTGAAACGATCCCGGTTTGCCCCGACCTCGGCACAAGGCCTACGAGATCTACGGGGCACAACATCCCCCCGTCGAATGGCTAGGTGCCCCGAGTGCAGGAGCTGGTGAGCGACGCATCAAGAAGACAAGAGCCTCCGGGTGAGGCTTTGGTCAAGCGGGTAGTCGTTTCCCACCTTGTCGGTGCAGACGGCCAGGGCCTCTGATGAATCACCCCTGCTCGGGCCATCTGCGATGTTAGAGAAAGATGGGACCCTTTCGTACCAACTGTACGATGGTGCCTTGGAGTCTGCAATCGCAAAAGACTGAATCAAGGATGACATCGAAGGACTATCCGAAATGCCTTTGATCAGACCATATCGTGCCGATTCGTTATCGATCCACCAAATCAAGCGCCTGTGGTCAAAGGTGGAAGCCAGGGCCCACCTCAAGCATACCACCGCGTACAACTCGATCTGGCAAATGAGCTGAGTCCCGACCTCGGCCTCCCATCGGAGGATGAGCGGTTCTGGGACGAGACCCTCATAAGTCCACGACTTGCCGGAAGCTGTGTCAAAGATGACGGCACCGATTCCGGCTCGGCGCTGCTCCCACGCACCGTCCGTGAAGATGTGTATCGGGGCTCGGCTGTCCCACACACTGAGCACGCGAGGGCTAAGTGCACGGAGGGCTTCAATGCTGTTGACGCAGAAGCTGCGGATCGCCTTCGAAGAGGCGGGGCTCGAAGCCTTTGTCAAGCGAAGGAGCTCCTGGCATGTTAAGCGTAAGGCCCGACCATTCACATAGCCTGCAGAGAAGTTCAAGAGTCCATGGGCGACTTGTGCCTCGTGCACCGTGATGGCACCCCTGTCAAGAAATCCCTGAAACAAGGCCACGAGCTGCTCGATACGTCCGGCTTTGTTCTGAAGGGTCAGGCGTCCACGGTGAACACCATCAAGTTGCATCGACATCCCAAGGACCTCGAAGCTTGCCGCAAACGGAACGCCTTTAGCGTCCTTGCCCACGCGGGCGTGACCCCAGCCCAGAAGATCAAGCAGTGCGGTTGTGGCCCACGTTGCGCTGTCACTTGTGTTGTTCGGTGACAGAAGAGGAAAGTCGTCGTAGAACACGGAGCTTGGCACAAGCAACATTCGGTTCAACAGGAAGGAGATTGCTTTGGACACCCTGTTGAATGCAAATACTGACGATGTGCATCCGAATAACAGCGAGTGGCTCACGTAGTACCTGGGCTTGCCCTGTCCATCAAGAAAGAAGACCACCGAGACCGGCAGGTCACGCTCCGAGACACACATCTGTTTGTAGGCTTTCGTCAAGTCAAGACACCTGGCTACCCATGGCACCGCACCGGGTTTGGAAGGGTCTGCCAGGATGCGTCGGGCAACCTCGAGAGCCATAGCAGACAGGTAGTCGGCGTCCTCGAGCTCGAGTCGCATCGTTGAGGTGCTGGCGCTGTTCACAAGGGCTTCCTTTGCGTCATCTATGGGCCGAAGTTTCCCTGGCTTCTGCTCCAAGACGAACCGCCGGATGCACGACCAGCGAGTGTGGCCGAACAGCCGGGACACTTGATCCTCCGTGTAGGGTCCCAGCATGAACCCAAGGTCTACCTCTTCCTTGCATGTCTGCTCAAGGTGGGCGAGCTGCCCTGCATCCGGAGCCCTGGCGCCGGGTGTTGTGAGAGCCCGCCGCCTCCATTCGGCGGAGTCAAGGAACTCGTCCCTCGACATGGTGGCAGGAGCAATCTTTTGGGGATAGCAAGAAGGGGTGTCCTGAAACCCAACAAGGTCCACTCCCTGTTCCATGAGCTGGACTACCCCCATGTCCCAGTAAGCATGTTCCTTGAGGAGCGCCTCGAAGAGAGAAAGATTCTTGCTTTCAAGCACCTTCTTCATATGATCCGGTAGGGCATTGTGCCTAGCCTTCTCAGAGCAGCTGAGCTTTTTGACAAGAATTTCAGCCTTAGCAATCGCCAATTTCCTCTTGAGCTCTAAGACCTTAGGGGGTGTCGTCATCACAGCTTCAAGGGCATGCAGAAAGTGTTTAGACAACGGTCTGGCGGCATCGAAGGGGTGAGGGCAGTTTAAGGCCTTATTCAGAAACTCAGGGGGGGAATGCAATATCCCCAGTTTCCACTGCTTCCCCGAGATTTCGGGTCCATCCTCGGTTGATCCCCCCGCGCACTTGGCAGAGAGGATGCGCTCGGAGGGCTGAAGCTTAGAACCCGACGGGACTACCCTAAAGGCGCGGTACTCGGGCACTAAAGGGGCATGGCGCTTTGTTTGGCGGCCCACTGCAGCAGTCGAGGCCTCTTTAGTTCGGGAGAGCGGCCCCGGGGCAGTATTCCGACCTTGGCACACTGGAGCAGGCAGCCGGCTAGGCGATGGCAGAGGACCGGCGGGTAGGCTGCAGGCGCAGCCCAAGGTCCGGGGCGCGGACCATGCCAATGCTTGCCGTCGCAAGCAACAGCCAGAGTGTCAAAAACCCGAGCCGTACAAAGGAGACGAGACAGGGCCCGGCTCGACCCCCCGTGCATACAGAGGGGGTACACGATCTTCTGGAGGCCAGCCCATTTGGACAGGCTCGCGGCTGGGAGACGCGATCGAGCCATCGACGTGAGCAGGGCCCAGCTTTCACTTCGGTCAGGCTGTTCAAGGGACACGACGACATCATGTTGGGTGCACCAGCCGACGATGTCACAACAGAACTCCAAAAGGGCCTCATGGCCAGCAAGAATCGGAGGCGCGAGATGTACGGCAAAGGGCACTCGGGCTTGAAGAAGATCCCAGACAACCGATTGACCAGAGGCAGTTGCCAAATCCAGCTTACAGACCGGGGCCTTAGGGTGGTTGACGTAATGATCGAAAGTAACGACTTCGAACCCAAAGTCGAGCATGGCCCGAGACAGGCCTGCGGATCCAGCGAAGAGCTCGATGAACAAGGGTCGCTGGGCAGGCGGATCCAGCTTTGCTGGGCTCGTAGAAGTTGGCTCGCCAACACCCAAAGGGAGACTGCAAGCAGGGCCTAAACCACTAGGGGAAGCCTGGGTATTGGGCTGCAAGTCCACAGTCGAAGGCACTTCAACTTTGCCCGGGCCCCGAACGAATCCAAGCTTGAGCAGCAAGTCAGCATCGGCCTGTGGGAGTTTACAAGCATCTCGAACTGAGTAGGCTGCAAGGACAATTCGAGGACCCTCGGACCATGGTAAGGTGCAATGCAGGTGACGCGGATCAAAGTACAGGCAGCGGTCAAGCTCCCGAGTGGAGCCCTGATGCACCTTGCCTTCGAAATGCATGGGCGAGGAGCCCTTGGGGTCGGCAACCCATAGACCTCCACCCTCAAAATCTGAGCATCGGATCAACGCGCTAAGGCCGGTATTATTACGATCACGATGCATGCGAGTGAGGTTGTCCCGGAGGAGCACAAGGGATGTAAATGGAAAAGAGTCCCCGACGAACTGCTTTGCAAAACGCGCAAGGAGCTGGGTGCATGCAGGCAGGGTTCGAGTATTAGCAAAAGTACCCGTGACACCCCCGTGGACATAAGCACCACAGCTGAAAAGGAAGGCATTGGGGCCGCTTGACGGCCGAACACTGGAATCGCATGGCAAAAGGAATGACAATTGAGCCACAGAAGATGCAGGGATCTCGGCCTTCGCCAGGAGGTTCAGCGCGAAGCTCTCGGCATCCTGTGTTTCGGGGCCACTGAGGCCCTCAGCCAAAATTGGATTGGGAGACGCGGCCCCCTCGGGCATGGTCTCATGCTCAGGACCCGCGGGGGCCCCCGCCATTCAGGCGGGATCGGTGTGAGTGCACTCGATGAATGGCACTGGCCTGCCACACCCTCGGTAATAGCACCCGTGGTAGCCCCGAGGGCATCGGCCCTTCTTTGGATTCTTGAACTTGCATCGGCCCTGATTCCACAGGAAACACCAGGGTTTGCCGTCCTCGCTCTTGGGAACACATCCATCGGGCAGTGTGTACTTAGGCGCCTTCCCATCATCCTGGTTTTGATCAGCGGTCTTACCCTTGCCTTTCCCCTTCGGAGTCTTATGCGGGAGCTTAGGATCGGGATGAGGTCGCTTTGTCGGGTGAGGCATCGGAGGAGGCTTCACAAGCGGCAGCAAGTGCACAAGCACGTCAGTGCTCTTGCTTAAGCTTTCGATCTCCAGATCTAGGGGTCGAGCAGCGCCAGCCGACGCCTGGATCTGCCCCATAAGGTTGTGCGACAACAGCTGAAACAGCTCCCGGTCTGCAGCCATAACCTGAGAGAGCGAGACTGAGTGATACCCCGCAGGAGGCTCCCGCTGCATCCTCGAGAACAGGCTTTGAACCCAGGTTTCTAGCACGGTGTAAGAGGCCAGCTGCGCAAGCTCCATTGCAAGAGACCTCCGAGTCCAAGCTTGCCTCAACTGCATGTCAGTGCTGATGGAGCACCTCAGCTCCACTTGCTTGGCGGCAAGCTTCAGCTCATTTCCCTGTACCTGCAAGGTCGGATCCCTCTTGTTGGAATCCATCTCCTGTGCTCGGCTGATGCACGCGTCTGGCTTGACGTAGCTGAGCACACCCGAATCAAGCTGGTCAACGTAGTTATCCACTAAGCGGTTTGCTGGCAGAGTGTCCGGGGTCAAGATAAGTCCAGGCAGCTTTCGACGCAGGGCTTTGAGCCTTTCAGCCCGCTCTATCATTGGCAGCTTGCGAGTGGGAGCCTCGCCTGGCGCCTGATTTACCCGGTCACGCATCTCGGCAATCGACATTGACTGCGCTTCGAAGAGCAAGCGGCGCAACACTGACATTTGGTGCTCACTCGGTAGCGGATCTGCAAGGTGCTGCGCCCACCGGGAGACGGCCTCATCGCTAGCTGCACCCGGGGTCGAGGAGACCGCAAAGGCAAGAGCCCCAAAGGTCGTGTACCCGGCTCGGGCCAGCGCGTCCCTCAGCTCATTTGACAAGCCAACCTTCGCGAGCCGCTCGAGGAAGTAAGCAGAAGAGTCGAGACCTGAAGCCATGATCAGCGCTGGATGCTAATGATGTAAGCAGCAATGTGTTAAGAGTGTCAGCCTGCATCCTATCCCAGCATCAAGTGTGACATGGACCCATGCATGACCGTCGCTAACTCTCCAGCTTGACTCGCGATTCCTGAGCCTACGGGCAACAAGCGGCAAGTGACATGCCAACGCTCGCTGTCCCGGCTCCAAAGGTAGCGCATCGTTTGGGTCGTCCCCCTCAGGAAGACTACGCCCATGCACTTACAAGAGAGTCAAAGAGAGCATGACAGACACGACACAGGCAATTCTTTTCACAGTTCCGCCGCAACGGGTTTATAGATCTAGTCACCTACCAGGCCCAGGGCTCTCGAGCACTGATGGCATGCAGTAGGGAACTCAGCAGCAACGCCGGCTTCGGACAGTGGCGTGTAGTTCGAACTTACAGGCCGATGGCACCAAAGCATGCCGGAGTCCTTAACAACATGCGATATGCCCGAGAACCTGTGCACCACGATGTCCTGAAGGAACTGATCCGGGAACGCCCCCCGAACCAAGTCTGCGGCCTGCCGCCCGCCGTGACCTTCTGGGATCCCCGCGTCGGAATCGTCGGAGGAGGCACTATCCTCCCCGGCTGGGGCGTGCTGCCCCAAGTTGGACGCCTGCGAGCTCCCTACCATGATGGCCTCGGCGAGGTGCTCCACCCGGCGGGCCGGTGGCAAATCTGGATTGAACGATCCCTCCTCAATCGTCTTGAACATCGCTAGGACCTTAGCGTAAAGTTTGGAGTAAGCCTCCCTGCTGTATACGAGCATCGACCTGGTGCCCGGGGCCGAATGGTGGCCCAGGTGCAGCCTTTCGGGCTCACTGAAGTCGATTCGAACTGAGCGGCTCGCCCACGTCAATAAGGTGGTCTTAAGACTATGGGTCCCAACTTTGCTGTTCGGCAGATTAACGGCCTCAAGAAAATCTCTAAGGTATGATGATGCCTCTCCGGAACCCATGCGGGCCGTGCTCCACTGCCCCAGCCTCAAGGAGAACGAAGGGAGACAGAAGTCGCCTCCCCACTGAAGGCCCTCGTTCCTGCGGGCGGTGAGCCACCGGTCACCCCAGTCATAACCCGAGACACCAGTGGAGATTGCGACGTACGGCAAGAGCCTCCTTTGCGCCTCAGCCGTTTGGGTGGTCTTGCTCTTCAGGCCATTTGCAAGCAACAGGGTGGTCTCAGAACCTTCGGAGACATCCACGGACTGCAACCCCTGGATATCCCTCCACCTGCCGGCAGAGTGGACAGCAAAGAGTATCTGGCCCAGCACACAGGCGTCGGTATCATTCAGGTCGTTAACAAGTAGGGCCTCAAGTGCCGCAACCTGTTCCACAGTGAGTGGGGGCCTCTGAGACAGCGGAGCCTTGGTGAGGGCCATGTCACGAGCTACGCCCCGAACCCTCGCAGATACTGCCACATCAGTTGAAAAGAAGATCAATCCAACGGAGTACTCCAAGAAAGTCAGCGACTGCAAAAACTTGTTTCCCGAAGTAGCCCCCCGGTTGGAGGACCGCATTTCACACAAGTACGCATATAGCTGCTCCTCATCAACTCGAAGCGGTTCTGCCGCCTGGCAAGCACACCACGCGCTGAACCGTGTAAGCGCACAAGCATGCCCATTGAGCGTGGATGATGCCTTGGCACGGAAAGCATCTGCAAAGGACTGAGCTACCACAGCCTCTTGCACCAGACCTCCCAGCTTATCAATCAAGGACTTACCCAGCTCACTGGCCAGAGGGTCACTAGTAATCAATACCTTGAGCTTGGCTAAGGCAAGATTGCGAATATCTTCGTCTGAAGCCTCCGGCCGGAAGCGGTGAAGACGGTTCGCAAGTGACGCTGCTACGATCTGGGGCTTAGGGGCAGGAACCTTAGGCACGGCAGGCTTAAGGACGTCGGCACTACCTACCCCAGGCATTAGATCCAAATTGATCCGGCGCTGCAAGGTGTCATGCCAAGATGGGCCCCCGAAGATTGCGGCAAACGGTTGTGTCTCCCACGGGAGGAGTGGGGCTTCCAAGCGGAGCCTCTTATGGATATGCCCCACGGCACTCTGCTGCAACTGGTCCTCGGCGATGCTGTCCAGGGCCGGGACTGCCAGAGTTTGCTCTGGCTCCAAGCTCGGTGGTGACTGCTCACTAGGCGCACACTCTGCAGCGGCTGCCCCGAACGACCCCGCAATCAAGTACCACTCCCTCTCCAATTCAGAAATTTCAGCAGCACAAGAAAGGTCAGGGGCGCTAAGGGATCGGCCGTCCCACACCTCATCATCTTCAAGAAATGACAACAGCTGGTTGTCCGGAATCTCTTGATCTAAGCTTGGTGCAGCAGGAATGTTCTGGTCAGACTCTGGCACGACTGAACCAGCTTCTTGATCCTCAATCCCCCCGGCATCTGTAAGATCAATGGTGCGGAGAAGCTCATCGACCTGGCGAGCGGAGTCACTCATGTCAAGGACGGTTGTAAGCAAGAGCCAGGCGCCGGCGAGCAGAATGCACCTGCTCTCGGATGGCTGCAAAGATAGCAGCAATTGCGCGGCTCACGGGCTGCAAACTGTCAAAACAAGTGACCCCTGCAAGGAGAAGGAACCGAGCCCCGGGAGCCGTGGCCCCAAGCAGGTGCACAAGGTTGATTCGCAAGGGAGGCTCCGGCCGAAGAATCTCAGATTGCCAGCCCCTCACGAGTAAGCACTGGCACAAGTGCAGCAGAAGCAAGCGGCGGCGAGCCGGCGGCGGGCGTCGAAGACGCCGGTCCATGCACGGCCCCCCCTAGGCCGTTCAAAAATTTCATGAATGTTGGGCCCCGACCTTCTGTTGCTTGAGAGGGCGAGCGCGGCCATGCTGATTGAGATCAAATCACAAAGTGAATCTCGCATGCCGAAAATGCCAGGAAAAACATTCATGAAAAATTCACCGTGAAAATCACATGTAAAAATTCTGCTTTGAGTGAAACTACCACATACCGCAAGACTGTACACGATACTGGACCCGCCCCGGCTCGCTCTGCGAGCCTACAGTTCTGTCTACTTAGAAAGCGCTACCGACAAGTCGGAGCGGTTCATGAGTCTCAAACTCACTGATGCAATAAAGACATGTTTTGCCCTCCCAGAGTTGCGAAGATTTCGTATGCCAAGCGGTGATACACTCTTGGAGAGTGCATCTCTCAGCATCGCCAGCACCTGCAATTGGCATCAAGATGACATTGGAGCCCGAATCCTCAACCTCGAAGCGGTCGCCTAGTTGCGTACCAGCCAGCCAGCGGCTCACCCAGGGAGCATCAGACCCCTGGCGCAGCAGATGAAGAAGGAATTCGGTCGCATCATGCTGTTGATTCGGCCTGCTCCACCCCATAAACAGCGACCTCCAAGAGAGCATGTTGAAGAGGCCATAATCACGAGAGAAGCTTAAGCCTTGTAGTGCAGCAAGCGCTTTCATGAAAGGATTGGCACCTGCGGCAGCGGCAAATAGAGGTGAAGGCTGCAGCCATCGACCACAAGCAAGCACCACAGAATTAGCATAACAATGATTGCTAGAATTCTGAAGCCTCAGTGATTGCCAAGCCAGACCGATAGGCGATCGGCCGCGGGCGGCCGCTTCAGCCGATGGGGCCGAATTCTCACCGCCCCCAACACCCAAGCCTGGAGGTCCACCCATGTGTTGAAGATCTGCCACAGAGGCTCTGCTTCCGAGCGGAGCCCAATGTCCACATGAAAGGTCACCGCGTAGCCCTTCATCTCTGGAGCCAATTCCCTCGACTGAAATCTCGGCATGTTTTCCGGACGTACAAGCAAAGTCATGGCTTGATCCAGCTGCTCGATAAATACTGTTTGAGGAATCGGCTTCCTGGACTGATCCAGGTACAGAGCCTCCTGAGTGGGAGACCATTTGCGATAGACCCATCGACCCTCGGAGTCGATCCACTCGAGAGCCTTCATGCGTTCCTGCTGCTCGGAGTCGTCCAGTAGCTTTTTGGCTCTGGCCTTGATTTCCAGAAGCATGGAGATCATCATACTGCAACGAAGAGGTTTGTCCAGCTTGCTTGGTTCTTGTTCTTGCATGGTTTTCCAGGCTTTCCACACCTTGTACATGATGGGTAACAGATTTTCCGGACCCTGCTCGTTCTTCATGGTAAGTAGAAAGCTTGTGTCCAGCTGAACCCTGCTCGCCTGATCCACTAGCTGCAGTGTCATGGCCGCCATAAGCTGAACCGCCTCCTTCAGTTCCATCTTGCTTGCATCCTTCGAGGATTTGGCCTTGCCCTTGCCCTTGCCTTTGCCCTTGCGATCGTGCTTGTCCGAACTGGAGCCTGGATTGTCGTTTGTGCGACGGCGCTTGTTCAGGTCCTTCGGCTTTGTCTCCGATGGCTTGTCCCCTTTGCTGTCGTCGTGACCCATTTGCCAATCGTGAGCCGCCTCCTCCAGAGAGGGCAGAAGATGCCCCCATAGCTGCTTCTCTTGGAGCACTGGATCCTGCCGGAGCTTTGCTGGATTTGCAATGTCCAACCAACATGCACGACATGAGCATCAATTGCAGAAGAACAAGACAGTTGCCTGCATGTTGGCGACGATCCACAATGTGGGTGCCGCAAGCTTGACACGGCGAGGCTATGAAGGACTTCCACAGAGCAGTCTGTTGGCTGATAGCAGTTTCGTGAAGGAGAAAATGCTCAGGGTGTTTAAGGCGAAGGTGTTTCCTAACTCCATTCCCCGAGACGACCCATTGATAGCACAAGGCACACCGTTGCTTGAGGTCGACACACAGATCAGCTTTGGTCAAGAGCGACTCCCAGCCATTTTCACGTATGGCTTGGATAATGTGTGGCCTTTGCACGTGGGGCAGCACCATAGCCTCAGCCTGCGACTTTGCATATGCTTCCGGCTCACCAAGTTCAAGGGCAGGGCAGCCCTGCCTGGTAACATGCCTTGTAAGCGCACTCCATTTGGAGAATTTGTCACCACAGTGCCTGCATATGGGAAAACCGTTGTAGCCATGCTCAGTGTGCTGAACCTGTGCAATTTTATCCCGGACCTTCTTGTGAGCCTTGCCCTCATGTGTCTTGAGATCGTGCAGGGTATGGAAGACCTGATGACAGATCTCGCAGGAGAAGCCGTTCTCGGGTTGATAAGGTGCAGGTGGTCCCGAGGACGGAGCCATCGTAGGAGCAGAGGGTGCAGAAGCAACGATTGCACCAGCAGTAGCACGCTCACTGGACAGCGGAGGCAGAGGTACGGGCTCAGGATGAGCACCGGGTGCCGAATCCTCAGGGACGGGGTTGGGGACAGAGGTCGAAGATGCAGGAGTTGGCTGAGACCGAGGCTTAGCAATGTAGGGTGGCGGCAGGGAGTCCCGCACAAACTGTGCCCATTGCAAAATGCCCTCGGCACCAAAGCAAGGGGTCTCAAGCTCTGTTCGTGCCAGTCGTTGGCAAAAAGCGTCGCACTTTGTCTTAACCAGCTCTACACAATCAGGGATGCAATGCTTAAGCATGAAAAGCTGATCCGAATCCCCATCCACGTGCCTGGCAGAGCCAATGATTGCCCGCATATGCCGCATAGTCTGGATGTGAAGAAGTTTGGCCGTCTCAGTGGTCAGGCCAACAGCCTCAACAGCATATAACTGCGACGTCTGCACCATAATGCGCCACAATCGGAGGCGATGCCCCACGCTGAGCACACGTCTGGCATGCAAAATTCGGCGGAGCCGATCACGATGACCTGCGGCTACCCCTATCCTATGGTTAGCAGTCGCCAGCTCGAAATTCCGATAAGAGAGAACAACTCCAAGATAGGTAAGTTGACTGGCCACGGGGACTCTATCTTGTTTGGCACCTCCAAAATGGAACTGCTTGCGACCGTCGGAGTCCTTGCGGACCCAGCGTTTCACCCACTTGCGTGCTTGCTGTCCTCTGGCACCGATGATAAAGGTACTTTTATCGGGGTTGGCCTGCATTCCAAGCTCACGCAGTATGCGAAAGATAGTTGAACACGAAGCAAACCCGTCGTGTTACAAGACAAGCAAAAGCAAGCACTCAAAGCACTTCTTTTACTTGAGCCAAATACGTTCGTGTGCGTCGTTCAAGCTGCTCTTCACCTACCTTCTACAAGGACGTCTTAGCTACATCATGCAGGTGCTTGGGGCTCGAGTATGATTAACTCCCCCCTTGAAGACAGCGTGAAACGCTACACTGAACTTAGTTACGCAGACTACCTACTTGGTGGAATTGCCACTCCGATTAGAAGTGGAATCCAAGCTCTCGCAGCTTCAGCTGGCTGTCGACGGGCAGCCTGCTCACGTTTCTAGGTGTGAAGGCAATTATGACGATTCTGTCACCCTTCGTGCAAGGGGTCGTCGCATGTAACCGTCTTGGATCGAAGATCGCTGGCCATTTAAGGATCTCGCCCTTCTCACCTCGACTGAGGTCTGGGCATGGGTAGCCACCGTCTTGTGACTGCACCCACACGTGGCCCCCCTCGAACACTTCAAGTGGGATTACAGCGTTCTTGCTGCATGGCTCGTTGTAAGAATCCTTATGAGTCAAAGTAATTTGATTCTTGGCCAACATCACTGCCGTAAACTTATGCTTAGGCAACACCCTACGGATGAACCTGCACAAAACCGCAGTGACTACTGGGAAGAGGGTTACATTTTGCCTTAAACCTGCGATCCCACCTCCGTGCGCGAACGCACCGGTGGTGAAGCACATTGCCTCACTTGCAGAGGGGCGCACGGCGCTCTCCCCTGGCAAGTACGACAAAAGCTGCACAAGGTCTTCTTGTGTGATCTTTCTAGGCAGTGAGCTTGCAAAACGCTCTGCTTCCTCAGCTACGACCTTTGAGACGGTCGCACTGTGAGGGACACCTTCGTGGAGGCACAACTGTGTGAGCATATCAGACCACTCAGCAGGAGGGATGATCTTAGTCAAACCATTAGCTAATTGCTCCTTGCTGTTCACGTAAGTAGCCGAAAACTCTTCTTGCTCAAAGATCTCTGCCATACTTGCCACATTCACGCGGTGCACGCGCCCTAAGTGGCGAAGCTTAGGACTGTATCCTGACTTCAGGATGGCCAAGACAGTTTCATTGTCTTGAAAGAAGATGATCGGCACTGTGCTTTTGAAGGCTGACTGTAAGAACGTCTGCAAATTTATGACCTCTGAAAACATGGCTGATGCCATTGAGATCATTTCGGCCTCTGGCGTCGACCTCGCAACAGACGTTTGCTTGCGACTTTGCCACATCACAGGGAATGCATGCTGACCTGTGCCTATGTGGACTACAATCCCGGACGTGCTACGTGAAGTGTAGGGACAGGCTGCGAAGTCAGCGTCTGTATACACCCGTAGCTCGGGAGCAGCATCCCAAGAGCAACTGGCATTCATGCAAACATCTCTAGTGTGATGAATGTACGACACAAGTCTGAGCACTTGTCTGTCCTCCCAGGCGGTCCAACGAGTGACCCTGGAAGCTAAGCGAGTTACAGCAAATGCGATGTCAGCTCTACAGAGACGAGCTAACCACAAGCAGCGCATCAAGATGCGTGATGCTGAATCGTGGAGCTCGCCTTGCGCTGAGATATCCTCGTCGGTCATTGACGATTCAGCGATGCAGGGCGTGCTCACTCGACGAAGCTTGTCGGGCGTTGTCCCGGTGATCTCGCAATAGGTTTGGACAATCTGCTCAGCATACTCAGGCATCCTAAAAGCCATTGTGGTCGACGATGGTTCATCGTACCGACAATGCAGTCTACCTAAGATCCGAACACCCTCAGAACCTATGAAACACTCGGGATCAAGTTTGACCTTCGCCCTCAACGCTTGCCAAAATGGCGTGTGCAATTTTGTTAATCCGCACAAACTCAAGTCATCGACGTAAATGTTTAAGATGAGAACCCCATCCTTGTACTCAAAGAACCAGTTGCTTGGAAACTCCTGGGACTCCTTTCCGCCTAATGAGATCAAAATCCTAGACAAATACTCTTGCCAGAGCCGTCCGGCCTGTGGATGGCCGTACAAGCTCTTGCGAAGTCGAACGACTATTCGCGCTTGCGCTCCAAAACGCTCCTCCCAACCAGGGAGCCACAACTCCCTTGGCAGGATTACGTATGTCTCTTCTTTAAGCTCTGATTGGAGGTATGCTTGGATTGCGTCAGAGCATGACACAGAGTGCTCCGGTAAGCAACCCCAGAAGAGGGAGGCGTTCAAGGCTATTAACCCCGTTGGAGTCGTACTGGTCTCTTCGAAGAAAACCAGATTGTTAAACTCATCCAAAACCCTATCCCCTCTATAAACAATTCTCCCTTTGAACTTTTGAAATTCAGGTGCAAGTTCGGCATGCTTTACCCCGCACAAGGTCATCAGTTCTGCGACGCGAAGCTTGCGTCCCTGAGACCTAGCCTGACTTCTCAACTCATGCAAAGGCATGGCCGTCGTGTCATCCCATGTGCCGTTTCGGCGCAACCCCTCAGCTTCTTGAGCGATGGCTTCAAGCGCCTTCGGCTCAGCTTGCCATTCTCGGCGAGAGAGATTCTTGGTGATAAGTGCGCTAGCTTTACCAAGATTGGGGACACTTTTGAAGTACCTCTGGGGAAACAAGGATTGTATCACGAGATCCGCAAGCTCATACGCTTTGATGTTGGTTGCACTGATCTCTGATGACTCCTTCGTTGACACCTTTGCGAAGTGCTCCAGTACTCGCTTGGAGTTCGAAGCAATGGTGGTGGCTTTGTTACCGCTGACACAGGCTACACTGGAGAGCTCGTGTTTCGAAGCGAAGTCGATCCACTCAGGCTGCACAAGCACCCCCGAATCAGGACTCCACTGAAACGAAACCCGACCCCCCTGCTCAATGATATGGTCGGCAACATTTAGGGCCAAAACCAACATTCGCTTGGATGTTGCTTGCCTTTGTGCAATCTTTCGCGCGTACTTGGGACTTTGGGACTCACGATGTACGGCTTGGTGTGAAGACATATGTGTGCATGGTATGGTGAACCAAGCATCTACACCTGGGATTGCTTGGGAAACAACTTGCTGCATGTCATCCTGCGAAGTCAAGTCCAGCGTTGACTGGGACAGACTAACACAATGAACCTTACAACGTTCACAAGCATCTCTTATCTCAGACTCGTCCTCACAACCATACTCGATAAGAACATTTTCCCCTGGAAGTTCCTTCACCCTTCTAGTGTTGTTACGCGCTCTCTCGTTTGCGAGAAACCTTGCACTCAAACCAAACTCACCTGTTGGAACTTTGCTTTCGGAAGACTGAACTACAACACCAGCTGGAGCCCGTGGGCCAGCAGAGGAGCTCGCGCGCTCTGGAGCATCCTCATCACCCTCGGGGGCTGCGGGTGCAGACTCCGCCAAAGGATCAGGGCGCTCAACATCAGGCGGTGCAGCGTCTCTGACTGACTTGCTCGCGGCAATCTTCTCGGCTTTAATCAAACCATCAAATCTTGCCTTACATACTGGCGTGTGTACTGTTCCATCGAACTTGCAGGCCTTACAACCAGGTGTTGCGCCTAGTCGCATGAGCCTATCTAAAGTGATGTACTCGTGGCGCTTTGCCACAGGTGTTGATGGTGCCACCGTGCTGAACGGCACATCAAGGAATTCGATGGCTTCATACTCGGCTTTCGTGAAACTAGACAAAGCAGCTTCTGCAGCGGTGAACATCGGAAGGATGGGATTACCGCGGGGAACATGTATCTCCTCTCTAGGGACGGAGATCGCCTTTTCGTACCCCGGTTCACGGTTCTTTAGCTTACCATAGTCCAACACGTGATAGACTTCTCTGAAAGATGATGGACCACTATCGAACCGCCAACCTGCAAACACCCCTGGCGCTGCTGATGCCTGAAACTTCTCACGATATGCCGGGTCAAGTCTGTAGTAGACCAGCTGACCAAGTTGTAATTTCATGCCACCAAACTCGGATCCAACCGCGTTTACATACCGGCTACCCTCAATCCCAACCGCAGGGTGGAAGAGATTAATGGTGTGTGCCGCATAGCGGACAGTATGGACCCAAAGACCCGAATGCAACTGAAAACCTGCCGCAATGTGAAGAGCCCTCGAACACTCCTCAATTGTCCGGATTTCCCGTTCAAGGACTGAATTGTGAGGCCATCTCCGCTCAAGGCTTGGCTCTGAAGTAAACCCCAACGTCGCACATGCTGCGAGGAGCTCCCGTGCATTGTCGCTTTTAAACAATACACAAGGTCCAGAAGCGCGCCTACCGAGGAAGGATAACAGGGATCGTACCACCCCGTCTTCGTGCCTAGACACTAACGGGAATGTTCTTATGTACCCTGTGGCTTCATCTCTTACAGTCAGAACGACGGTTTCAGTGCTTCTAGAGTCTTTGTGCACTATGATGAAGTCAGCCGCTATCCGTTGGCCGAACTCGTCAACCGGATCTAACTCATCATCACACCTTGCATAGCGCGTCCTTGCCGTTCGCTTCTTTAGCATTCGGCTCCGACTGCAAACATCACAGTATGGGTTCTTTGGCATATGCGTTAAGCGATGTTCTAGACTCTGGGCTTCAGTGATTAGCCGCTGAGCCTTGGTTGGTGCATCCTCATCACCCTCATCGTCGGCACCGGAACCTTCCCCTGGATCAGCTGGAGGGGGTGCTACGGGAGGTGGTAGAGGAGGGTCCTCTGCTGGGACAGCGGGTGCAGGAACCTCTGCTGGGGCTGCCGGGGCAGACTCACCAGCGGCTAAGGCTCTATGCAAACCATCACCACCAAACCTGATCTGCTCACGAAATACCGGAACATAGTCATCAACCTTATGGGCATAGATGACACGATCCGAATCCCAAGTGATCTGAACGCAATCTTCGTCACTACCGAAGAACGGCATGCTACCAGGAAGCCAAACGAAAGGTTTTCGCTGCAACTCTACTAGTTGGCCTAAAGACCGCACTACCGGGCAGCTTTGCAGA